TACATTGTGACCGAAAAGCTTTCGGAAATTCTCATTTAAAATTCGCGCGCTGTATATTTTCCGATATTTTAAGTTTATGTAGTTTGGCAGCACTGTCCTTAATTACTATGCCAAAAATGAGCGCGATCTGTCAGACAGTTCGTTTACGGCAGCTGTTGAAACCAGTTCACCTCAGTAGGGCGTTGCGAAAAAAACAATGGAAAAAAATATTGAACAAAGAGTTTGCATCAAATTTTGTGTTTCGAACGAAATTTCGTGTGCAGAATCGTTGCGAATGCTACAAAAGGCTTATGGGGAATCAGTTTTATCGAAAACTCAAGTTTATGAGTGGTACAAAGCCTTCCAGGACGGTCGTACGACCGTCGAAGACATTTCGCAACGCACTACTGAGGTGAACTGGTTTCAACAGCTGCCGTAAACGAACTGTCTGACAGATCGAGCTCATTTTTGGCATAGTAATTAAGGACAGTGCTGCCAAACTACATAAACTTAAAATATCGAAAAATATACAGCGCGCGAATTTTAAATGAGAATTTCCGAAAACTTTTCAGTCTTAATGTATACTACAAATATTTTATAGATTGCAGGATTTCAAAATGTATTAGGGTGCATTGATGGCACGTACATTTGTTAGAAAACCAGACAATAAAATACGCTTTATGTACATAAATAGACACGGATTATTGTCTATATTATTGCATGATATTTGTGATGCTAACAAAAGATTTTTATATGTATTCATTGGATCACTTAGTAAAATCCATGATGCTCGAATGTACAAATTGTCACCGATATCGAAGGAGCTTTCTTCTGCACTTTGGATATCCTTTGCGAGAATATTTGTTAACTCCGTATAAGGATTATGGAGACCAATTCCAACAACAAAAACATTCAATAAAAAACATAGTCAAACTCGTGTTATTATTGAAAATTCTTTCGCGTTGCTGAAGCAATGATGGCGACAATTACGTCATTTGAATTTTTTTCTGTGAAAAGAACGTGTAAGTTTGTGCTTGGCTACTGCGTACTTCATAATTTTTGTATTGAGAAAAAGGATGATTGGATAGAAAATGTTGACTATGCAGAGATAGTTACCAGGAAACCTTGTGACAAAATCTCAAGTAAGCAGTTGGGTCTTTCAGAGACTGCTTTACAGCACATGGGCAAACTGAAACGCAATAATAGAATAGCTGAAACATTTTAGAGTAATATTAAAAATTTATATTTCATAAATTTATAAAAAAAATTTAGCTTTAAAGTAACAAATA